TATATTTTAACTAAACAATTCACAACAGTCAAATAAACCAAGTAGCTGCAATCCATCAGCCATTCCTGTTGAATTTTCAGAGAGATTTTTTAAAATTGCTTTAGGTACATGTAAATAGACTGAAGGACAGCTTTAGAGATATGAAAGTACAGTTATTTGATATATTGTTGCTATGGCTAACCTATACCTAGATATTCTCACACATTTCTCCAAAAGATTTACAAATCTGAGCTATTTTATACATTCATATCCCTCTGGCTGCATGATTTGTTCCTCCTGTCAGAATTGCCTGTTATTTTCGGACCCGGTCCTTGACCTCTTGTAAGCCACTTTTGTGCCATTTCTGTCTTACGCCCTCACCTGTAGATTCACCTCAGACATTCTGGAATGTCCACCATGCCACTCATTAAGGACTGGAGGAGGAGGATCAAGGGTGGTGCTATAGGACTGTGATCCAGCCATTTTAGCCAGCAAGTGCAGTCCTAAGCCAGTTTGTTATAAAATTTTGAAGGTCAGAATTTGCTCTCTTCAAGTTACATGGGTATATGAATAAAGAGCAACATAGTTGATTTTAATGGAGTTGCTTTAGATTTACACCAGCATAAAGGAATGCAAATTTTGGCCATAAGGCCTTGTATTAGTAAAGCTGTGTTTGAATTCTGCTTGGTGGAAATCATCATAATAACCAAGAATGCTTATCACTCATAATGCAAGTCTTCTGCAGTATATTAGTAATGTAGTATGGACTCTACAGTTATCCAGCAGGAATACCAGAATTGGGTGGGACTTCCCTGGATCCAGCTCTCTCTCCTTTACTAACCACTTCTCCAGTCCAAACATTACAAAACACCTTGTTTATTATTAATTTAGTTTTAAAGCTCAATTTCTTTCCCCAAAACTTTTCAATGTCATGGAATTGGCATTTTCCAGATTGTAGAAAACTATTCCACTGGAAACTTTGATTTCTTTTGTATCTTCCTCCTTGCCAGCCTTGCAAAATTAGCCATGTAGTCCTTTCACTGGAAACCAGCCCCACTCCTATCAGTTCCTGGCAGATATAGGATGGAGGAGGATGCCTTCTGCCCATTCTGGAGTGTCAGCACATCAGTCCACTGTATTTGCCCAGAGGCTGAAATCACAAGATAACAAGCATGGATTACTTATTTCTCTTTAAGGGTATGAAACTCAACTTGCAAGTTAAAGCAGAGGACTAGATTTAAAAAACAAAATCAGTTTCCCGTCAGCTTGTCAATTGCCTCAAAGACGGTTGCAGAAATCAGGGCCCCGAGTATCACTGGATTCTTGTATTCGATGAGAAACAGTGGTTAGTACTCTGCATGTGCTTCACATGTTCCCTGGTAATGCAAAAAAAAAAAAAACCCCCAAAATTGTATATGCTATGCTAAAATAATGCCACTTCTCAGGAATGCTAAAAGCTATCAGACCCCAGCAAGTGCTTTTATGCACAGCTAGAGTGTGTTTATTCAATGTGATCACCTCTGTATAGATTGCTCTTGACAGTCAGGGTGTAGTCTATCACAGACTAAATTTGATGGGACATTGCTTTAAAAAGAAAGGAGGAGGACAAGTGTTATTCTGAGATATATTAGCAAAAGTGTTGTATGTTAGATATGAGATGAGGGATGTTAAATGTAGTTTAATTAACTAATTGACTAGTTGATGGAATTTCCATCAACTGGTCAATTAGCTGATAAGGGGGGGAACCACAGCAGTTAGCTCCCGACCCTGGAACCTAACCCTGCTGCAGCTCTGCCCTTTAAATGTATTAAGAGCTAGGAAGCTCTTAATACATCTAAAAGGCTGAAGCACAGTGTCGGGGACCCAGCACGAGCCAGGAAAGCTGATTCCAGCTTGCACCAGTTCCCTCTGCTGTGCTTCTGCTTTTTAAATGTATTAAGAGCCCTACTGGCTCTTAATACATTTAAAAAACAGAGGCATAGTGTCTGAGACTGGGCACAAGCCGGGAATCAGCTGATTCCCAGCTCATGCCCGGTCCCCACTACCCCTCAGTCTCCCCTGCCCCCCGCAGAGACGGTGCTGGGGGGAACTGGCTTACCCCTTGCACCTGCTCTCCCCCCTTGCTGCCTCTGATAGTCTTACATCCCTACATGAGATGATTGTTCCTTTTCTCGAGACGATACCTCAGCTGGATGGTGATGCCTCAGCTGGAGTACTGTGTTCAGTTCTGGATGCCACGCTTTATTAAAGATGTGTACAAAATGGGGAATCCAGAAGAGAGCATCAAAAATGAGCTGAAGTTTAGAAAACATGGAGGAAAGGTTGAAAGTACTAGGATGGTTTAGTTTAGACTCGAGGAAAGAAGGCAGAGGGAGAAGATAACTGTCTGAATATGCACAAAGTTATTATAGAGGACAGTAATTAACTGTTCTCTGTGTCCACTGGGCGTAGGTGAAGAAGTAATTGGCAATTTGCCGCAAGGGAGAGTCAGGCTAGCTACTAGGGAAAAAAACCTGTAAGGATAGTTTAGCACCGGAGCAGGTTATTTAAGGAAACTTTGGAATTCCTATCAGTGACAGATTTTAAGAACAGGTTAGACAAATCCCTGTCAGGTAGGGTGCTGGTATAATCCTGTACTACCCTGGGGGCTGGACTAGATGACCTCTTGAGGTCTCTTCCACCCTATATATCTCAGATTTATTTTGGCTTTAAAGGTTTGAAAACAATGCATATATATTGAACGCAATGGAGCCCCTCCTCAACAGATGTAAATCAGCATATGCTCGTAACAGGGTCGGATGCATAGTTACGGCACCTCCTATTGGTCATACTGGGAATTAGCTCCAACAGTTGAACACATCGCCTTCTGGCCAGTGTCTCACCTGTCAACCCTCTGCTTCACTATCTCCACCATTTGTAGCTAGACCCATGTCACTCCCTGGGCCATGGTGTCCTTTTCTGGACGCTGCCCATTGGCAAGGTTGCCAGGTGTCCGGTATTCACCCGGATAGTCTGGTATTTTCGCCTCCTGTCCGGTAAAAAAATTCAGAGAATACCTGACACCTAAATGTCCAGTATTTTCTGATTTTTATCCCAGCCAGGAGGCAAAAATGCTGGGCACCTGGCAACCCCACAAACACTCAGCGCCCGGCCTCCCCCCTCCTCTCTTCAGCCCCCTCCCCACGGCTCCCAACACCCCGAGCCTCCTAACCCCAGCCCTCAGGTTTACCTGGTTCCGGAAGGCTGCCGGTACAAAATGGCTGAGAACCTGGGTCTTAGTGCTCAGCAGCTCCCCTGTTGCTATCCCTGCACTCACTCTTAAAGGGGACATGCTGTTTTATTTTAATTGTTTTTGTTTTGCTTAATAAGTCTTGGAATTTTTTTTTTGCTCCCCCCCATCTCTTTTTTTCCCTTCAACAGAATTTTTTCCCAATGGTTTTTTTTTTGGGGGGGAAGGGGGGAGTGTCGGTATTTTTGTTTCAACCATCTGGCAACCCTGTCCATTGGCAATGCCTGCCACTCCATTTTTGCCCCCTTCCAGGGGGTATCAGCAGTACTTAGTCTCACACCTTTTACTGTGGCCATTTGCAATCCTAAAGTCTAGCCTCTTAGCTCAGGGGCAAGCTGCAATCTGTAATCTGTATAGGCAACTCTCCTTGGTAGCAAGGTGTGGTGCAAAGGGGGAATACAGACCAATGTCCTTTCTAAGTTTTTCCACCCATGTGCAGAATACATTTAGTTATGTGCTAAACTAAACATTTAGTACACATGCTGCTGGTTGGGGATGCTCTGCTAATCAGCTGGGCAGCATTTGAATCCGGATAACCGTCTAAGCGCTCAGCTTACAGGGAACACTGATCCAGGCCCACCCACTACTCTGGGACTCCTCCAGGACCCTATGCAGCAGTCTGTTCCTGCCATCCTTCACTCCCCTTAACTGCCCTCATTGTTTCCTGGGCCATTTCCCCATGACCATAGTATCCATATGGACCATAGAATCCATAGTAGGTATATTGATACAGGACTTGAGGTGTTTTTCTTGAATAGTTATCTTCTGTTTCAATGACATTAAATATTTCAATTAAACCAAATCATTTTGTTATATAAAACTATGGTAATTGACCTGGCCTAAAAGAGTGTTAGAATCCTTAAAGACTGTTTTGTGTCTGTTGTGTCTTGTCCAAATTCAACTTCTTTGTACTGCAAGGTTTTTGGGTCATGCTGCTGTAGTGGGTAGAGGGGCTGGTGAGTTGTGTGACAGAGCAACCAGTGGTTAGAGCAGAATTCCACCAGAAATACTATTATGGCAAACGGCAACCAATATTATTGAGTCTGAATTTCACTAACATATTGAAATAAAATACATTTTGGGGAGCATTGCAACGAAATATTAAAGACTGTCTCTCTTTTCCATAGGCTGAATAGCTGTTTGGAATTATTTAGGCACAAGGGAGGGGAGGAGTAGCTACAATGCACAGACCAATTTATGCTCTCCTCCTTCAGCAGAATGGCTGTTTTTGGAAAACCATGTAAGGAATGACAATGTAGGGCATTTAGACAGCTATGGCCTTGTCATGACCGTTTTAAAGCACTAATTCTCAATCTTTCCAAACAACTGTTCCAGTTTATCAAACTAAGGCCCTAATTCTGTTATCATTGAAGTCAATGGAACTCCTGGTTTTGACTTCAATGGGAGCAGGCTCAAAGTCTTACGAGGTTGGCTATATTAGCTATTGCCTCATTTAATTATCTTCCATTAATCTGCATGAATTAAGCAACTAGGGAGCTTGAGAGACTTGGGTGTGGAGCAGCCAAAACTCCAGCGTGGGGTAGAGCACTGGTATTTGATGGGAGCTAGATATTTCAGATCCTGTATGACCCAACACAAAGGCAGCTGCTCAAGACTGTATGAAGAGCTAGTGCAAAGTACAAAAATTAGAGTCTTGCTAGTTGCAGAACTAGGGCTTATCATAGGGAAGGCAGCATCACTGTACATATCACACTTGCTTATCACCCTTCAGGATGCTTCCCACAATGCCCTGGATTCTGGAAGGATCTAGCCACTCCAAGCACGCCGAGGAGAGCTCTGGTAAGCACTAGGGATATAAAATCCAATCCTATTAAGTGGTTAACCAATTAAAGGTAACTTCACAGGGCTAACTAAAAGGAGCCAACTGAAAGCTTTATGCAGAGGTGCAGCATGGGACCCAGTGCAAGCTGGGACTGAAGCAGTCTTACCTTGCGCTGGGTCCGGACTGCTCCGTCTCTGCCTTTTAAATGCATTTAGAGCCATACAGTTCTTATTACATTTAAAATGCAGATCCACAGTGGTCTGGACCCAGCGCGAGCTGAGACTGCTTCAATCCCAGTCTACAGTTTAAATATAGCAGGAGCCAGGCTACCTACACACCTGGCACCTACTACATTTAACCTGCAGAGCGGCAGTGGCTCCTTATGGACTAATTGTGTACTCAATAGAAATGGTGTCAACTACACAATTAGTTATTTACTTGCTACTTAACATCCTCCCTCTCAAGATCATAACCCATGACATTCTGATTCAATTGTGCAGATTTAAATAAAGGGCAGCCCTTTGGTATGTGTACCAATATTTGGTAATTATTGCTAATTAGGTTTGGAAGTGGTGCCTGTCCCCAGCGGTTAACTTTAACTGGTAAGTCTTGCCAGTTAACCTGTTAAACATTCACATCCCTAGTAAGCAGCAGATCACATTGATAATGCACCTCTAACAATAGGAGACTGAGCTCTCATTTACTTTATTATATGATAGGGGAGGGATGGGGGATAGCAATTAACAACTGAGCCTATGCAGCTACACCAGTGTTTCCCAATTTTATTTGGCTGAGGAACCCTTTTCAGCTTTTCAAAATTTCAAGGAACCCCTAGGTTTGTCAAGCAAAAAAAAGGGGGGGGGAGGGCGGGGGAGGAGAGAGGGACCCACCAATTCATAACCCAAGACCCCCCCATCTCCTTTCCGTGAGGCCTCATCCTCTCTGTTCCCCTCCTCTCCATCACTTGCTATACCCAGCCCTTATACTTGTTTCAACCTAGTGAGTGAGATGTGGGGTGGGAATGAGGGATTTGGGTGTGGGAAGGGGTGAGAAGTACAAGCTCTGGGAGGGAATTTGGATGCAGGAGAAAGGGCTGTTGGCTCAGGGAGGGGGCTCTAGGCTGGGGAGTGTTGGGCTCAGGTGGAAGGTTGGGGTGCTGAGCAAGCCAGGGCTTGTGGATATGAGGGTGCAGGAGTTTGGGCTGGATATGTGAGGGACTCAGGGCAAGAAGTTTGTGAGTATGATGGGCTCAGGACACAGATCTGTGATGTGTGGATGGTGGAGGAACGTTGTGACAGAAGACTGAGGCTGTGGGGATGCAGGAGGGTGGGGATGTAAGAGGCTCAGGACAGGGGGGTCCAGTGTATGATAGGCTCAGGTTTGGGGTCAGGTGGTGCAGGAGTGTTATGATGCTGCAGTGAAATGGGGGTTTGGTCCCAATTGGGGGCTTGTTGGCCTGGCTTCATTTTTAAATAAAATATTATGTCAAACTCAAAAGGTTTTAGCATTGTCTTTATATATGAGAGGGACAGGGAACCAGTTCTGAGTCAAAGGTCACTGACCCACAGAAAAGTCAGTTGGGGCCACACAAGTGAGA